CATATATTTGAGTATATTATTTTTCAAAGTGTCAGAATTGGAAAACAAAACTGTTATTTTCAATGACTACTTATTTTTCTCCAGCTTTAACATCAGTATCGGTATTGGTTATCGGCTACATGAGTTTTAAAATATCGGCATATCGGATATCGGCCAAAATCCCAATATCGTGCATCCCTAAAAAAAACAATTTAAAGTGCATATTATCTAATTATCTTATTTACCAACTCGAATTAAGGGTAAATACACTTATTGTGAGAAATTTTAACTTATTTCTAGATCGTTTTTGCAGTGGGAGGTGAACACACCACAGCAGTCACATCTGATCTAACAAGCCGAAATGACTCTCTTTACATTCAATAAGCATGGAGCAGCACTGGTGACAGAGGTTTGGACAGATTTTAGTGCGAAAATATAAAGAATACCGACTACGCTGTGGCTCCCGTCCACAGCGCTCTCCATTATTTATTTCCGTGATTAGCATTGCACTCATTGGAAAAACGATCTAGAAATAAGTAAAAAGTTCTTCAATTAAGTGTATTTACCCTCAATTTGAATTGGTAAATTAAACAATTTGCCAATAGAGTTAGTATTTTTCTCGTAAAATAAGATATTTAGATAAAATGCACTTGAAATAAGACAATGCAATTGTGTTTTTTTATTTATTTAAATTGTCTTGTTTCATTGGCAAATGTGTCCATTACCTTCATAATTCAAGAACAAATGCACTTTAAGAAAAAATGACTTATCTCGACAGACTTATATCTGTCGAGATCTTCAGCGCCCACCCAGCGTGATGCCGTCATTAGACGTGCAGTGGTGGGGGACAGAGGCTACGCAGCTTGCCATCAGGGGGTCAGACTCGGTTTTTCTGTCAAATGGGAAAAGAGCCAAATGCCGAATGTTGGCGGGTCAATCCGGTTTTAAAAAACCCAGGTTTTCAGTGTGAAAGCGGCTTTAGAATAGCAAGAAGGAGGACTTTGCTAACTCTGGATGAGCTGTAGAGATCCACAACTCAGGTGGGAGAATTTTAACATCGCACAGAACCCTGAACACGTCAATCCCATGCTGAAACATGGTGGTGGCAGCATCATTCTTTGGGTATTTTATTCATCAGTAGATATGAGGTTGCTGACTAAAGCTGATGGGAATATGTGTGTAGTTCTCTCTCTCTGTTTAAGCTTGAGCTGTTTAGCACAATAATGAACTCTCCAGTTAAAATAATATTAAACTTTGTGCTTCTAATGTACCCTAATGTGCAATAGTAAAACGGTATAAATAACTGTTTTGCATCAACATTTATGCTCCCTCCTTCACACCTAAACCCCATCCAATTATTTACCCTTTAATCTTGTTCCACAGGGAGGCCGCCGATGGAGGAAAGCTAGCGGTTCAGGTGGAGGATAAACTAGTTAGCATCCGAAATGTGAAGGTGAGTGTTCCTGCATGCTAGGTCAACAGACATCTTTAGAATGCCTCAATGGACAGCGGCATAGAGAAGGAATCTCACAGGATGTTTACAGCCTCGGATCAACCTTTTCCTGCATGATGTCACTGCTTAGCGTTTTGTCTTGAGCTTGTGCATGTAGAGAAGCATCCGTTTGTCACACGTGTCTGCAATATCTAGAGGGGTATTTAATAGGCGATTTAATGTGAAATCTGGCTCCTTTCATCCCTCGCTTGCAATAGAAACTAATTTCTTGTGGATTTCACTGTGATTTAAGTGAGGTTTTTATCACATTTTTAAAGTTCATAATCACATGAACTTGTCTGCCTTGTAAGACGATACCTCTACCACATGAGCAGCCAGCTTTGTCAGATAGCTGAGTAGCATTAGGGATTCACAATTGTCTGGAAACAGTCTGCACACTGCAGACATGAGACACCTTTAGTTTAGAGATCCTTTAGAGTATCAGGATAATCCAATTCTACTCCATGTTTTTACAGCTAAAACTGGCTTCATGCTCGATAAACATGGATCGTCTGACTCTTTATTAAGGACCCTTTTGCTTACATTTCCATTTCTAAGCACAGATTTCTGTGGAGAGGTTGGGTGTGGGAGTAGAAGTCTGCTGTAAATGATGTGACATGAGACAAACCACATATGGCCTCCCTCCGCCATGGAAAAAAAAGAAAACTCCAAGCTTCTAGAGGGGCTCCTGGGAGTAATTATTTATGGTAAGGGGGACAGTTTGAGAGGATCTGAGAGAGAATAAAGCACCAATGAGTTTGTTACAGAGAGAAAGAGCTACAGCTATTAAGAGTTTAAAGTTGAATAAAACAAGGATGATTAAAAAGGGAGGGTTGGACAACTTTTCAGATGTAACTCTGCTGGTTTGGAGATAGTTGACATTGGCTGCTGTTGCTCTCGACTCATCCCTCTCGCTACATTAGCAGGCTTTCCTTCAAGCGCAGAACAGCTAAGTGGTTAACCAGTTTGGGGAAGCTGCAGGAAAAATAATACTTTGATTTTAACTCTGCCTTTTGTTGCAGCTATAAGAAAATACATTTTCTTTGATGATAAACAGTCTCCCAGTGATTTCAGCACAGACCTGCTACTTCTTCACAACCCTGTCCAGGGGTTTCTGCAGCGTAAAAGATAACTCCTTTTTTTTCACAAGGTGCTTTTTTTTTCAAAATGAAGCAAGTCTTAAATAAAAAACACAAAAAAAGTTCTGAATTGTTTAAATTCACTTTACATTTAGTGTAAAAATGATTGAGGGGAAACAAAGAGGGAAAAGGTTAAAATAATTTTGAAATAAACAAAAGTAAATTGTCCAGATAATTGATATTTATGATCTTTGAATGCCCTGAATTAGCTCTAGGTCAAATTCACTTTAAGCTTAATGTTTGGATCAAATAACAAGAAGGCTAACAAGGAAACTCTGATGTCTGTATCGTTTTAAGATCAAAGGCTTTAGATTTTAGGTTAATAGCCCATAAAGTCGAATCTAATCCACTTTTATTTGTTAACCCCTTAAAAACAACCACAGCTGACCAAAGTGCTGTACAGAAAAAAACCCCAAAATAATAAATAAAACATTACACATTAAAAACAGCTAAATCATTGTTAAAAATAACATTCACACAATCAAATCAGTTAAGTAGGGTAAAAGATAAAAGGAATAAAAGATTAATAAATAAAATAAAGCCCACTGTCTTACTAGGTGTTAAAAGCCAAAGCGAAAAGGTGGGTTTTGACAAGAGATTTAAAAACAGTCATAGAAGAGGCCTGTCTTTTGTGCTGAGGCAGGTCTTTCCAGAGCTTTGAAGCTGCAACAGTGAAAGCTCGGTCCCCTCAGCGAAAGCGCGGTCCCTTAAGTCGATATAATCAGCTGATTTTTCTTAGATAGCAAACTTTAAACCAATCTGACTATGATCTGATAGCATAGTCTCTTGCCTTGAGGTGGCATGTGTTCTGCATTGGCACTATGTAAATAAACTTAAATGAAAATTGAATAAGCAGGAAATAAGTTATACTGGTGAAGATTCTCCATCATCCAGGTCATAGTCATTCCAAAAAGGTTAAAAAAACAATTCACTGGACTTTGTATCCAAGTTTGAAGGCGTTTTGCTTCCCACCCAAGAAGCTTTTTCAATTCAAAATGTCAGAAATAGCGTTGAGTTCTTAGAGAGGGCCGCGGAGGAAGCCATCTATGTTAAAGAAAAACCAACCTTAAACACAGGGGGTGGAGTCAGGGTTCAGCTTTCAAAACCCATCTAGGGACTGTCGGGTTTTGCAGGCTAACAAACGACTGCTCATTCCTAAGGAGCGATTCTGTTTGTCCGGTTTGATTTGCATGTTTTCTAAGCCAAAACAAGGCTTTGTTTTTGGTCCACTCTCTAAAACCTCGAACTCAACGCTGTTTCTGACATTTTTTATCGAAAAAGCTTCTTGGATGGAAAACGAAACGTGGGAATGGGAAAATGCAAATTACAAACAAAACGAGGAAAACGAGGAATTCGGGAGTTGGCTGCAGCCTGTCCATGGCAAAGACGATGAAGGGTACATATATATATATATATATATATATGTATATACCCTTCATTTATATATATATATATATAAATATATTAGGGGTGGAAAGGTTCACAAAATCCACGGTTCGATTCAGTTCACGGTTTCTGGTCACGGTTTTCGATTCGGTTCGGTATATGTTGATTGTTACCCCGGAATCCAATAATAATTAATGAAATGAATGAAAAAATCCCAAAAAATGAATGAATTGTAATTATTTTTAATGATCCACGGAAACCCTGGATCATTTCCGCATGTTTTGCTGCTTTGAATTTAATCATCTCGCACATGCTCTCTACGATCTCCAAGGAACTTAGAGCAGAGCGGACGGGAGCCACAGTGGAGGCTGTAGGCTTTGCTTTGAGCAACCGGTCTGGAGCGCAGCGGGGCGGAGCGTAGGGGAGCGCTTACGGAATATGTGGGATTTCGGGGTTAGCCTGACATGTTGGTCATGTTGCTGTTAGCATAAACAAAACGTGTTGCACAATGCTTGCACACTGTTGCACTTTTATCCACAACTTTCTTTTCGCCGTCATCGTAGGTCACTCTAAATGCAAAGTGGTCCCATACAGCAGACCTATAAAGTGCTGCTGGCGCGGACGGTTTTCATAAACCATTCCAACCCTAATATATATACGAGATTCATGGGTACTTGTTGATGGCATTATAATCTTTTCTAACAATGCGGCTTATCTATGGACTTTTACAGCTAACAGCCACTAGGGTAATACGGTACCTAAATCTATGGATTTTACCATCCACCATGTTGATGTCACATTTGCTTCAACACACAAGTAGCCGCGCGTGGGAATGCGGACGTCCTACGGAAGCAGACTCCGAGAAAGACGGACATTGCGAGCGCAAGACAGTTTATGTGTTTCCTCTTTATGGAAAACAAACGTTGAAATGCATATGATGCAGCTTTTAAGTTAAAGGCAGTCAATTTGTCAGTAAACGAAGGAAATAGAACCGCTGCACGTAACCTTGGAATCAACGAGTCAATGGTGAAACGTTGGAGGAAGAATTGTCTCAATTCAATTGTGTTGAAATGTTAATAAATAGGAGCTTCCCCAAACAGTTGCCTCTTTCCCGACAATCCTCTCTGTGCACGCACCATATGCTAATTAAACATAAAAAACCTGCGGCTTTTAGTCCAGTGTGGCTTGTATATGTACAAATCATGCAATTTAGCCTCTGCGGCTTATATTCAGGTGCGATTTATAGTCCGAAAATTGCAGTATCTATCTTAATCAATCAAATCAAAAGAGTAGATTTGAACATAACAGATGACTTTGAAGTATGTCAAATGACCCTGATTGAATCACTACTCAAGTCTTGACTGGAGCTTCTTCAGCAGACCAATGACAAAACGGCCATGAAGCATCATGTTGATCCTGATGCCAACTTCAAAGATTACATTTCTGTTAATGCAATGAAAATGTAGTGTTTAACTATGGCTTCAAATGTCTCATCTAACTGTAGTTATTCCAGGACTGTCTGATAAACTGGGGGGGTTTGCGAAACGCTTTAAACAAACAGATCAGGTCAGGTTGTGAGTTGAACGCAGGGCTTTAGGAGAATTGCTGAGATGCTTGATTGACGCGTAATCTGACTTTGCTTTAAATACTGCCGTCCTGTTTGTCCTCAGCTCATTATTCACTCCTACATAGCAGAAAGGCGGTAAGTGTCAGTGCGCTGATGCATATCGCAGGAGTAAGTGCATCGCTAATGAATGGAAACAGCTTGCTTGCCATTCCACTCTGTAGTTGCCTCCATTGTCAAAACATGTTTGCATTTATCACTGGGTTTAAGTTTGTTACTAGACGCAGAGATACTCAATCTGTGTAAAATCCACGTTTTCATGCAGTTAAGCAGGAGGCTATGCAGGCTGTTGCAAAAAGCACGACAAATACGAGAAATATTCACTTACTTTTGCTTTGCAAACTAATCATGACTCAACTGGCCTCTCAACTGTTTTCTGATGAGCAGTTGTATGTGTTTCATTATCTCTGCAGTTGGACGGGCGGTCAGAGGGAGCTGTAGATTCCAGAGAGAAGCTTCTGGAGTTTTGTTTTGACTACTGCTACTGGTCTGTGGACCCTGCAGACCCTCACTATGCATCGCAGGAGGAGGTAACACACTTTCTATAAAGACTAGCTCCAATAAAAATAGGTGGCAGGGGATAAAACTGGTATTCTTTATGGAAAAATCATATTAAAGCATGTTATTAACTGTTAATCCTGATAGATCTGAGTTAGGGTTAAATCTGCTACATATTTGAATACAAAGACCTGCAAACTTCAGTTTTAATGGAATATTCTGTGCTAAAGCAAACACAGTTAAAAAATGTTATTTTCTATCCAATTAACTCTGGAAAGTGTTTCATAACATTGTATTCAATGCTTCATAGGAGCACATTTTCTGTATTTGCAGCTGCGTGTTTGAAAGTTTTGTTTTTATCACTTTGCACACAGGTTACATTCACACTGCAGGCCTTAATGCTCAGTTCAGATTTCTTTTGTGTGAAATCCATTTGTTTTGCTTGGTTGTTCACATTTATAAATATATGCAACTTGTATGTAAAATGTACAAGATCCTCAGATCTCAGGTGAGCAACTATCAGGTCTCTGAAAGAAAAGTTGCAAGTTCCTATGACCAATATACTCAGCACTGGAGAAAAAAACGTGCCAACAGGATTCATCACGGGATCGGGAGTATCCTAGGTGATCCTTCATTTCCCATGAGCCATTGCAGGTCAACACTGATGGGTCAGCTTGGACAGAAATGGTGGACGATGGCGGTAAAAATTGGAGTTAAAAACCAATATATTTATAAATGCTTTGTACGATCCAAAATAAACATTGAAGGTGCTTTTAGGAGAGAATGTATCTTTGTTAAACTCGAAGATCTGCCCAGATCTTTTAGATTTTAAAAAAAGAGCTCCAATATTTTATGATACCTGAGAACTGATAACATTTTTCTTGAGAACAAGAAGGACTGAACTTTTCCTGAGAACCGATCATGCTGAAAACGTACCCCAAACTCCTGTGTGAACTGCAATGATACAGCTTTAGTGTCCCGCATGTGCAGGAGAGGACGTAATGACGTCACAAGCGAGCGTGCTCTGTGTTTACGGAAGTAAACATGGATGGTAGAGCTGGGGCGCATCTAGCAACCTTTCATTTCTTTTCCACCTTGAGCCAGCACATTAACAACGCAATCTTTTCAAGAAGATAGAAATGAAAGACTGCTCTCTGCATTATCGTCCACCATGTTTTTTTTCCTGCTTCTGCATTTCAAGATGCAGAATAGGAGCCTTTGAGTATTAATGATGTTCAGGTGGGATGAATGCGACATGGCTGTTCAGAAACAGGTTGCATTTGGGAAGATCAGATACGTATCGGAATAAGGACCGCATAGCCAAGTGGCGTCGGTCGCATTGGAATCAGATCTGTGTTGCTCAGGCTGTCATGAAAAGTTTGATACAGGTTGCATGTGGTTAAAATGTCAAAAAAAGGTGGGAATATAGCTTTACCTTGAGTTTTACCCTTTTGTCAAATTGTGCTCATGTAGATCCAAGTTATTTGCTGCCCGTTAACCTCAACTTTCAACTCCGGCAACACATTTCCAATTAGATCAGCAGTTTATTAGTTGTTTTCTGCAGCTTCTGTCAGACGTTATAATGTAACAGGCAGCTACAGCTGCCAACTGTCCCCAAAGATGGTGTTTTGCATGTTTGCAAACTATTTAAATTATTAACTCATCTGACTAGAACACCTTCTTACATGTTTTTCTTGTTTTATTAATCTAAATCTGCATAAAACCTCTCCATCTATTTCCTCCCACTTCATTACTTTGTGTTGCTAAATTTAATGCATTAAACTTTGTGGGTGTAATGTAAGAAAATGTGGAAGAGTCCAAGTTTTTATGAATATATCTGCTCGGCACTGTAGTTGTGCTGCCAAAACGTGCTTTTTTAAATATATTTTGCTGTCTTATTCTGTGCCCTGTTATGTCTGGAACCGTATTGGTGCCAATCTGAACTCTGTCCACAAGCTGTCATATCAACAAACACATCTCATATCGTTTAAAGAGGCACACAAGGTTCCCCATCCTAGTCTTGGCAGAAATACCAGGAAAAGGGATGTGTGTTGTGCTGGTTTTACACAGATGGTCACTGGGGGATATGATATCAGCTCCATCTGTTACCCAGAAGTCAGTTTGCTTTAGAAGCTGCGTGTCTGGACTCACTAGGCTTTTCATGTCCTGGTTGTGATCGGGGCGATTAGATATCTTTGGGTGGCTTTGATTGGAGGGTGTTTCTGGAAGCTGAGACGGGGTGGAGATAAAGAGTGGCTAATTCTATCATAGCAAGTTTCTCCAGAGCCAATTTAAACTGATGTTTTTTTTTTTTTTTAAACGTGGTAAACTTTGAACCAGTGAAACAAGTCGATGAAACGGTTTATCTTTTCTGCTTTGTTATTGGAGTTTACTCTTCCGCCACACCCTCTCTGCTTGTCCCTTGTTGTGTTGGAGCTGCCTTTGTACGGCTTTAGAAAGAAATGACCTACACTGTGCAGACAGCTACACTCCTCTCAGCGCTTCTTTTCATCCCCACCATGCTCTGGTTCTGGGTTCATCTGCCTCTGTCTTGAGCATGATCATGTCCACTCACAGCGGCCCGGTTGCCTGAAGGCATTCCTCTGATGACCCTGGGTGGGCGACAGAGCACCCATGGAGGACAAAGCTAGTGGATTTAAATCTGACCTCTTTTCCTGCTCCAAGAATTGTCTCTTTATTGACAGATCCTCCATGCTAGTACGTCAGATTTATCCATTAATGTCAGAATTGCATATTTCTCTGGTTGATGACGGATGAATATAAAAACTGTCATGGTTTAACTAAAGATTAGACCCAAATGCAGAAGACCAAACAGAGAGACCGGGGAGAAAGTTTAACAGGTTTATTTAGGAGATTGTGAAGAATCCAGTGTTGCTCTGAACACTGCTCAACCGGAACTGAAAGGTGAGGGGAAGAAACTGTGGTTAGTTCAGGCTCGGTGGGAAATTTGATTCTCGAACTTGAAGAGGAGAAATAGATTGCCGACTCACGTTTCCAGAGAAGTTGTTGACTCTTTGATTCCAGTCTGTGTTTGGTAGTTCCTGCGTTTGTCTGATTCGGTGGAGGGCGGACAGGGTTTACCCAAAATGCTGTTGTCTGTAGGTGAACGGAGAAGCTGACTGCCACTCAGATTTCCTGCGGTACTTGAACAGGTCGTAGTGGAGATGAATCCCTTGCTCAGTGTGAAGCTCAAACGATCTCTTGCAGGATGACTTCCTGAGGCAAAGACAAAAAACAAGATTAAAACTCAGGTTGACAAGAACTCAGTTTGACTCAGCAAAACTCAGCTTGGCTAGAGTACCCAAAACTGGCAAACAGTCTGGCGACGAGGTAGTGACAGTCAGCAGCTTAAGAGCGCTCTGTTTATGAGGTAACTCACAGCAGGTGTGTAGGGAGGCGGACCAGAACCAGGCGCCTCCTGGTGGAGGAAGGGAGACAAACACAGAAAAAACACATACGCAGACAGGAATCCTGACAAAAACAGAGTAAATAATGTGGGGAAAAAAAGCTTATTTTATTGTGTAATGACGCAGCAGTCTAGGATATTTTCTAAATCATGTTCTAAGAGGTAAAAAGCTTTTACTTCATATTTGCAACTATATTTCTGAAAACATTCTGTGAACTTTAATGTTTTTGTTGTTCTTATAAAATATTATTATTAGATTTTTTTTTCAACCTTTTCTGTCAGACCCTTGGGTTACGGGATCTTTGCCAAAATGACCTTTTTATGTTTTAAAAAATTGTTCAGTTTTTACCAAAATAGCTAATTTATTTTGATTTTCATCTGCCCCCCCCCAACAGAAAACAACAAAAATGCCCTACAGAGCATTTTTACAAGTGTACAAAACATCCTCTTTTTTGTCTTCATGGCCTTGAATTACAGATGGACTTATACATTATATTATTATATATTATTACTTATATTATTAATACATCAGCGAGATGATATTCTGAGAATTTTTTTGTGTTTCTTGCAGCTATAATCGGACTGAAAGATTTTCCAGAGGATTTAGATCAGGACACTGATCGAAATAGTAGTTTTTTTTTTGTTTTGTGCACTGCCCATTAAATACCAAATTATACAGAGTTTGTACTGTAATAACAGACGTTTTGGGGGGAAAATACTTTGTAGATAGTTAGAAAGGTTAAAGACTTTTGCCAGGTGAAGAAAGCTGTTCTGGAAGGGAGACAAGATCCATAATGGAAACCAGCTGTCACCTTAAAGCAGAAAAACAATTCACGATTGTTTTTAATATCTATAATGCTTTTCTATAGTGCCTAAAACAAGAAGCATTAGAAGGGAATTTAAACAAAAAGCAAGCAACATTGTGTATTTCTTGACTAATGCAGGAGGGACATAAAGGAGAGGAAATGGACAGGGGGTCCACATCGCCTCTGCAGCCCCGGGCTCTCGTTTGCCAAAGTCACAGCTGCCTCCTCAAGTTATCTTTCACAGTTAAATCTCAGTGTAAAGACGTCATTGCTAAGGACTTGGCTTGGAGCACTATTTTTTTTTTTATCACTGCCAAATGAAGTCCATTTGCCGGGGTTTTTCCCCTCCTCCTCCTTTTTTCTGTCTCTCTGTCGATACTGTGCAAGATTTGAATTGCTCGCTCTGTTTCTAGGTCTGTGTGTCAGTGGCTCAGCAGAGTGGAGAAGAATAGTTTTTCTGTGTCCTGGAGTAATCTCTCATGCGCATGTGAGATTCAGCCCTCCTCGTCTCCTAGCTAGAGTGAAAGCCAAAAGAGCATTTTAGGCTGGTTGCAGTCAGAAACAAACAGAGTAGCAAATGAACAACAAGATGTCAGCAAAAAAAGAGATTTATGACCGTAGAGGTGATGTCGTCTGGTATCTATTACCAGGAATGGAGCGTTCTGTAAATATAACAAATATCACAAAAGTTTGTTTTCTAAAATGAAGAATAATGATTAAAGGGAACTCACATCCCAATTATCCTCAGTAGATAAACAAAAATCCCATAAAGTTTCATCCAAATCCTTGTATTTACATT